TTGTGAGTCTTGGGGGACAGTTACTGTTGAGAACTGTGAACTTGTTGACACAGACTTCTTTAGATACTTAGGTTGTGTTGTAAGTCTCAGGGGACAGTTACTGTTGAGAACTGTGAACTTGATAGCACAGACTCCTTTAGATAATTAGGTTGTGTTGTGAGTCTTGGGGGACAGTTACTGTTGAGAACTGTGAACTTGATAGCACAGACTCCTTTAGATAATTAGGTTGTGTTGTGAGTCTCGGGGGACAGTTACTGTTGAGATTTGTGAACTTGACTTCTTTGGAGGATGAACTTACAAAGATATAAGAGCTAGCAAAGTGAAAGCCACCTTCATCAAGTTGAAGCTCTACTGCAACTGTATCCTTTCCATCTTCAGAATGCTGGGAAACTATCTAGCTTCCACAATGCAATTCTTCAGAAAATCCTCAGTACGTTCTGTAACAAGATTAGTAATGCAGAACTTCATAAAAGAACCAAATGGAAAGCATAGAATCCATTCTGAAGAAAAAAAGATTATGAAGATGGCTAGGGCATATGTTGTAATGTTATTGAAAGATGACAAGAAAATTATCAAGATCGTCTTGAATTGGATACCACGGAGAAGAAGAAGAAAAGATCAAAAACCATCTGGAGAAAATAATATAGGAAGAGCTGACATAAACAAAATCTTTGTGGGGAAAATTACTCAGGACAAAGGGGAGTGAGTATCCCTGTGTGCCACATAACATGAGGAGAAATTAGTATCAGTAATAGTAATACGCTAATGAAGTGAAAGGCCCACTATTTATTTCTTTAGAAACATTTAAAGTTATTTTTATATGTAGATATAAAATCAGAATTGTTGTAGTGAGCCCTAATTGTGTTTGCTGTGATTTTCAGAGGCACTTAGCAGTAGAGGATTGAAAATGATATTTGTGGTTTACTTATAGGAAAAAATTGATAGACTGTTACACTTATTACATGAAGCAGATCCCACAGGAGAGAGAGCTGACTCTGATGAACTTTTAGCTTTGGAAGGTAAACTATTTTTTCCAGTGGCATGTATGTAAGAAAAGAGCTAAATAAACTTATGCTGGATCTGTTTAATCTTGTTTGTGATTATGATTTATATGGGTCATAATTTATAATAATTCAAAATATTCGTTGACTATTAATGCTATTTTGAACTTTCTAATTAAATCTGAGGAGAAACAAAAATATTCTTAAGACAGACAATTTGGTAATTAACAATGAATATGATGTATGAGAAAGTTAATTTACTACATTACAAAAAAAAAGATAGTGATTATATCACCATTTACATTATATATATTAATGCAGTTTTTAACAATTAGATAGCTTTGGGTCACCATTTAGGTACCTTTACTGTTGATGATGTTTTAACAATTAGATAACTTTGAGTAACCATTTAGATACCCTTACTTTTGATGATGTTTTAACAATTAGATAGCTTTGGGTCACCTATTAGGTACCCTTACTGTTGACGATGTTTTAACAATTATATAGCTTTGGGTCACCATTTAGGTACCTTTACTGTTGATGATGTTTTAACAATTAGATAACTTTGAGTCACCATTTAGGT